CAACTCACACCTTCGTCCGCAAGCCCCACCCTCCGCTGTCGGTTGCCACGTGGCGCAAGCGCGGATGCAGACACACAGCAAGTTAGATTTAGGCTTCCGTGAAACTCGTCCAATTTCGCCTCTTCTCTATCCCAAGGTGGAATGTGGCTGAAATAGGGGAGGTCTCTGTACGGGGCGTAATCGGTGGTTTCGTTTGCTTTCCTTCTCTTTTACAGACCACCTCCCACCTATAGCTTCATAACTGAACGCTTTTCCACACCTATTTTATCCCGAATCTTGCCTTTAATCTTAAATGTATGCCATACGAAGTTATTACGAGTCTCCATCTTCATGCGGCGTTTGTGTACACAACCCGTCGGGCTCTTTCCAGCTGAAGTTGCGTCCCGATAAGGAATGCATTAGTCACTGAGCAAGCTCGTCGCCATTCAGTCTCTCTACTTCGATGAAAACGTGCGGTATTCCAATAAAGGTCACTTGATATACCTGTCTAATTTTTAGTACAACGTAGTGCAGATGCTCAGATTTCAGACGGCGTCACGCTGCATGGTCGTGTTCGAATCCATCATCACAAAGCTTCTTCTTGTCATCTCCATCTGTTCGATTATTTATTCACCAACATGGCGTTCGTTTTCTATATTTAATCTGAATCAGTTCAAATATATTTTTATTATAGTAGGCTCCTCTACACGTTTTCCTACTTTACGTTCCAGCTCTGAGCTGAGTTTTTGAAAGCCGTTAAGTTGAAGTCATTATTGGTATAAGGCATTTAAGTATAGGGAAGCACATCCGGCGATCTAGGACCCAGCGGCAGCACTTGATCGGAGAGAGGTAAGCAGCTCAATCTGAGAGTGCAACAAAAAAATGCGAAGGAAGCGGTTGCAGGAGCAATGCGACTGGGAAGTGAGTTGCAAGCAATATAATAGGCAGTTAGGGAGGAGTCAACTCATCATGGTGGTGGAAAAGAGCGTCGTGATTACCCGAAACCATCTCGACACCTACCTTACTTGCTTCCCTACATGGTACCAAAGGCACCGAGAACAGGCAGCCGGTCACTATGAGAGCAAATGTTACTCTTTTGGGAAATATTGGTTATTTCCTCACTCGATGGATTTTTAGGCAGTAGGTACACTACAGCCCAGCCCCTTGACTCCCTTTGGTGCAGAGAAGGTACATCGGAGGGTACACGTGAACTAAAAGATTACTACGATAGCCTAGTTGCGGTTTGAGCGCATAAAAGGGGCAACTGGCTTAGTTCAACTCATCGGAACATGAAGTGTGCAAAAACAACGCTAAAACATCAACAGAACGGGCCCTTCACCTGAAGTGAAATGTTCAGCGAAATAGGACACTATTTGAGGCCTCTCACTGTTCTTGATGGCTATTTAATTGCGTTAGCTGTGGTGGTAGTCGCCACTGCTGCCTTTGCCCAAAGTTAGAATCCCAGCCATGGGCATTTCTCGGGCAGGGGACAGCAAGACATTTTGCACATCTTAATGTCCCACTTGAGATAGTGGCGACGGAGCAGCCCACATGCGCCATGTTCGTTGGCGGATTTTTTTCTGATGCCATCACGTAGAAGCCGCTGAGAAGTTTTTTTAATATAAAGTATTTGTCGTCGCAGAGAGAGCCGTCGATGACGGAAGTTTTTCAAAATATTCTTCAGATGTCCCTCTGTTATTTAGACGCAAGCCCTTCTTCAATCTCCAGAATATGACGTCATTTGACTGTCGTCGCGGGGGCGGCGGCGGCGGCGGCTTCCCCATCCCTCCTCCTCACGCCCCCCGCCTCATATCTACTCCCTCCCAACAAAAACTATATTATAAGCTAAAGATTTCAAGTCACCCTGGACCTTGAAAGTCCGGGTCGGTATGACAGGTTGGGGAGGAGCCTCGGAAAGTAGACTAGCGCGGTTGCTCCATCCTAAAGCTCTACCAATTTCTTGAACATGACATCTGTTGCCGGCTAGTTTTCTAAGAAACATTAGCTCTAACATGCCCCACACCACTCCCAGCGCTTTATAGACAAAAATCGTTCACAGATCCCGTCGAAGGACACACCCATGCGCCATGTTCTCCGTTGTGCGACTTTTGCGGCATCCATCCCACGTAGCAAGGCCGCTGAGAGTTTTTATCGAGTGGAATGTGCCGTAATCAAGTGGACACTCCGATTAGAATTTCGGCATCATGACGGACATCGGAGCGGGCTGAAGTGGGTATGGCAAGTGAGCACGCTTACACGCGGAGCGGTCCGCGGTAATTCAAATCTTGGGTCGGGGAGCGCCCTTGCCAACCAAGCCTCCATGTCGTGGTTCGGGAGCGGTTGCCCTCCTAACCCTCCAACACGACGCATCAAGGTGGTTCGGAGCCCTCGTGGTCCTTCCCGGACACACGCCATCCTACGGGTCCTTCCCGGGGACCATGCTGTTTCCCGCAAGCATGGCCTCCGCTCCCCGGGGCGTCACGGGTTCCTAACCCAGGGAAGGGGGGTTTAAGGGTCGCGGTAAGCGGTAACCCGCGGGGGCAAGGCCCACCGACGGCCCGGGCTTTCCCAGCCCAAGGGCCGAGGGCTCCCTTGCCCCGGCTACCAACCCACAACATAACAGCACAAGAAAAACCTATTGCGCCTTAGTCGGGCCCCTGCCCTGGCGCTCCCCAAACTACAACCCAACTACAATTAAATATACTTACATTTATTGGCGGATATTGGCGGCAACAAGTTGACGACCTACTCTTCTCATCCTCTGCCGGGCTTGGAGGTACCAAGCCATCGCGTCGTCCATCCATCGGGTCGTCGGCGGTAAGTGGCGCACTGCTGGCGCCTGCAGCCGGCAGCGTCCATCCGGTGTAGCGGACGCTGGCTTGCCAGCGCTCCGACAGGACGGGACAGTATGCCGGACCATACTGCCGAGTGCCAGTGGCACTCCGAGCCGTCCAGCATCCTAGCGTTGCCCGGCACAACGCTCCTCCCGGAGGGAGCGAAGTGCGCCGACTGGCAGAGGCGGCTCGCTTAAGTAGTCCCGGCTGGAGGCGGGACCGGAGGCGGAGCACGCCCCTATAGTCGGTGCGTGCAACGCCACGGCGCCTGCTGCACAGCAGTGCCCAAGCGCGCGGGGCGCCCGGGGACCACCAGTCCAACCAGCCTTCCATCCCTCCGGGGTCGGTTAATTGGTACCAGACTTGTCTGGGAGGATAAAAACACTGACTTGTACATCGGCTGGCCCCGCAAGTCATTGTATAGGCCACATCGCATTCAAACGCCACTACGAATGTACAAATGGAAGTATTAGGTCGGTCCACAATTTTTGAGAACCTTTGGTGTTTTTCGATTAATTACTTATCTTATTTCTCTGATGTACTTATTCAGCATAGTATACATCACCATTATTACCAACATATAACCAATGCGAGGGTGGGTATTCAGTGTCTCTCTTGTAGAATTTCATAGAGTTCTGATCGAAGAAATATTGGATGTCGATTTTGACTTTATGGTGATTCAAGTGAGATTTCTTCTCCAGAAGGTGATTGAGAGAGGAGAGCGGATAGTCGTTCGTTGACGCAGGATTAGTGCTACAAGGCGGAGCTAAAAGAACTGACCGCCCGAGAGTCTCCAATTTTTTAGGAATTTTCTTAGCAAGGCGGGCTCGAACGACCTCAGAAAAAAATAGATTTTGTCTTCCTTTGCTTTCAAGTTGAAGGCGTTGCCATCAAGCTGTCAACGATTCTTCCCATCACTGACACTGGTATTAGTTGATGCCGGTCTTCAGCGCAAAGGCCCTCCCGTATTGCGCCAACGACTCAGGAAGTTCGAATTCAGAGGGAGTTGGGTTTTTACTGTCAGAACTCCCGAATCGTTTGAGCAAATCTACTGCGGCTCGTGGATTTGTTAGCACACTGCACCCAGTCCACATCACCAATGAGTATTATAGATGGTCATCCGAAGGAACTATGGGAAAACCAACAGGAACTTGATGATGTCAGATTGGGTTGAGAACTGATTCGGGACTACAATTTTCCTTCGATCAGAACTCTATGAAAGTCCACAATAGAGGCACTGAATACCCACCCTCGCATTGGTGATATGTTGTTAATAATAATGATGTATACTATGCTGGATAAGTAGATCAGAGAAATAAGATAAGTAATAAATCGAAAAACACCAAAGGTTCTCAAAAATTGTGGACCGACCTAATATAGAATGCGTGCCGCATCCAAAAGGGATTGATCAACGGCAAATGCTTCATGCATTCATGCTTTTATGGATGGACAACGGGGACAAGAAGCATGAAACATCGCAAATTTGGACCCAGTTTTTAACAAGACGATAAAAGTTCGTTTGAGGGAGAAATCTCCAAGTTTATGTGCGGCGTCGGCCTTACAATTTAAAATTCCATGCTGGAAAACTTTGCATACTCGTTTTCCCACACGGATGTCTGTCAGCATATGCATCAGTAGAGACAACATACAAAGTTTCACGCACAAAGATTCAGTTTTCGAAGAAAAACAAAACTTACAAAAACCACACTCTATGGACAATCGAAGGTAAGTGGGGGCGGAGCCAAAGGCGGGGCATGGAAAGAAGTCCGCCTTGGGCGGCTACGTATCAGGCGACGCAATGAAAGAATCGGGTTAAAGCGTGCGATTTTGGAGAGTAGAGACAAATCGATCGATAGAATAGGATGCAGTAGAAGTGTGAGATGTTATGCAATAAGTCAAAAAGAAAGAGTTTCTAGTGACGGCACTCCGTGAACCAAGTGGAAGCGTTCCCGCCGCCAGCATTTGTGACAGATGTCCGGCGGGAATTTGAACGCGTAGCAGTCCTTCGGTTTTTCGAATTGTTTACCAAAACAAATGCAATTTTTTTCTTTTCGTTCTTATCGTGAACGACGGGTCTCAAGCCAGTGATTTATTGGTGAGATAGAACATTTCCCGGGAAGATTCCGGATTCCTTTGAGGAGAGAAGATGGATGTCATACCTCATAAGGAGAAATTGCTCTTGCAGTGCCTGTATTTATTAACTTCGCCTTCTTGTTGTTCGCCGTGTTTTCATTGGGATGCTACTCGTTTTGCTGGAAAAAGGCTAATAACGTATTTGTACTACCACTCCTTATCTATGAGGTAAGTTATCTAGCTCCCAAACCAGCATCAGCTTGTTACCTCATCTTACAGCTTTGTTTAGACCGTTACTATTTTTTGGATAATGATCTGGTTATATGCCAGCATTACCGCTGTAACAACGGGATATCTTTGGTCGCTGGAGTGGATTGGTGGCCCGCAAACGGACAGAACCCCTACGTCTCACGACATTTTGGATGAACGCTATGTGAACCCGAACGAAACGAATCCTGAGACTAGGAAAGGTGGGTGCATGGCAGAACGGATCGCTTATGAGACACCTTACTTTCTTTTCAATGAGATAATTACAGCGATCAAATACGGTTCAATCATCTTGGTCGTCTCTTTTGTGGTACTGATTTTGAAAGTGTTAGCCTGGAACATTGCTCGACGAGTTTTCAGAGAAATACGGAAGGAACATATTATGGCAATGGAGGAGATAAAAGGTAATCTCATCTGGACGAAGGTGCTTGCCTCGCGTGTAGCAAAGTAGCAGACGGATAAATTTCTTGCGTGCCGGAGAGGAGGCTCGTTGCGTGGCTGGAAGGCGTCGAACAGGCGGATCAGGTCGAGTCAGGGTCAAACGAGGGGTCGGGGAAATTTTTGAAAGCCCGCCTGGGTTGGAGACGAAAGTGCTGCTCTGGCTGGCTCGCGTCGCGACTTCAGTTTATATTCGCAATGATACCATACGTGATCGCTTTTTGTAACTTCTAATGCTGATAAAATGCCAGAAGCTCGAGTGATCATGTTCTTTTTGGAAACTATGACAGT